AGTATTTTTTTTCTCTCTGATTTCTTTAGTTTTGCTCTAATTTCTTTTTTCTTTTTTCTTGAACTAAACACTTAGCTCATTCATTTTCAATCTTTTTTGATCCCTGATCATTTATTTAAATGTGTAAATTTCCCTCCAAATACTGCTTCAGCTAAGTCCATAAGTTTTGGCTTAAAATACTTTGTTTATTCTGTTTTCTATATGATAGTCATGAATTCCTTTTTAGTCTAAAGATTATTTAGTTGTAAGCAGTTTCATATCTACACTTAAAGAATTTTTAAAAGTTATTATCAACAACTGTGAAGAGTCTCATATTTTACCTACTTGTAAGTTGCCAATGTTGTCAGTCACCGTTTCAAACACAGTGGCGAAAGACTCGAGACTTTGATCGAAAGGTCAAAGACAAAGGACTTAAAGACTTCATTTTCTCATCGGTTCCCCTTGCCTCCCAAGTCCTACCGGAGCGATGCATGTATGGGTCCAGGAAAAGGACATAGCTGCAAGAGGTTTCAGTCACAGTGGAAGGACCCTGAGATGAGGAAACTCCTATCTTGCCTAAGGAAGTATAAGCCAACCTACCTCATCTTTTCCACACAGGCAGACATTGTCTTCATTTTCCTAGATAGCAGACAAACCTGCCCTCTGTCATGGAGGGAGACTATACCCTTATTTTCCAAGGCTGGTTGCCCTATGAAGATCCTTGAAAAGGTAGTCAAAAGCTGACAATACCTCTGCTCACACAATATCCAGAAACACAAGAGACCCATGGAAAGTTGTCTCCCAATAATTCAGCTCAGTTCAGTTCAGTTCAGTTGCTCAGTCATGTCCGACTCTTGGCGGCCCCATGGACTGCAGCACGCCAGGCCACCCTGTCTATCACCAACTCCCGGATCTTGCTCAAACTCATGTCCATCGAGTCAGTGATGCTATCCAACTATCTCATCATCTGTCGTCCCCTTCTCCTCCCACCTTCAATCTTTCCCAGCATCAGGGTCTTTTCCAATGAGTCAGTTCTTCACATGAGGTGGCCAAAGTATTGGAGTTTCAACTTCAGCATCAGTCCTTCCAATGAATATTCCGGACTGATTTCCTTCAGGATGGACTGGTTGGATCTCCTCGCTGTCCAACGGACTGTCAAGAGTCTTCTCCAACACCACAGTTCAGAAGCATCAATTCTTAGGCGATCAGCTTTCTTTATAGTCCAACTCTCATAACCATACATGACTACTGGAAAAACCATAGGTTTGACTAGACAGATCTTTATTGGCAAAGTAAGGTCTCAGCTTTTTAATATGCTGTCTAGGTTGGTCATAGCTTTTCTTCCAAGAAGCAAGTGTGTTTTAATTTCATGGCTGCAGTCATCATCTGCAGTGATTTTGGAGCCCAGGAAAATAGTCTCTCACTGTTTCTATTATTTCCCCATCTATTTGCCATGGAGTGATGGGACCAGATGCCATGACCTTAGTTTTCTGAATGTTGAGTTTAAAGCCAACTTTTTCACTCTCCTCTTTCACTTTCATCAAGAGGCTCTTTAGTTCTTCTTTGTTTTCTGTCATAAGTGTGGTGGTGTCATCTGCATATCTGAAGTTATTGATATTTCTTCCGGCAATCTTGATTCCAGTTTGTGCTTCATCCAGTCCAGCATTTCTCGTGATGTGCTCTGCATATAAGTTAAACAAGCAGGGTGACAATACACAGCTTTGACATACTCCTTTCCTGATTTGGAACCAGTCTGTTGTTCCATGTCCAGTTCTAACTGTTGCTTCTTGACCTGCATAAAGATTTCTCAGGAGGCAGGTCCGGTGCTCTGGGTATTCCCATCTCTTTAAGACTTTTCCACAGTTTTTTGTGATCCACACAGTCAAAGGCTTTGGCATAGTCAAAAAAGCAGTAGTAGATGTTTTTCTAGAACTCTCTCACTTTTCTGATGATCCAACGGATGTTGGCAATCTGATCTCTGGTTCTCCTAATAATTTTTTTTTTATAATTCATTTCTAACATCATTGCATTGTGGTTAGAGAATATAGCCTGTGTGATATCCCTACTTAGGATTACTGGTGGAGGCTGGGGAAGATCTCTAGGAATGAAAGCACCACACATCACAGAACCTGCAGACCAACTCCATTCATAGTTTCTTCATGAGGGATCGCCCCACTCAGAGAATCTCTTTGAATTCCTGGAAAGAAGCAGGTTATCTTGAAGAGATAAAAATCTTAGTCCCCTGTCATTGAGGCTGCTGCTGCTGCTAAGTCACTTCAGTCGTGTCCAACTCTGTGCGACCCCATAGACGGGAGCCCACCAGGCTCCACCATCCCTGGGATTCTCCAGGCAAGAACACTGGAGTGGGTTGCCATTTCCTTTTCCAATGCGTGAAAGTGAAGTCGCTCAGTCGTGTCTGACCCTTAGCGATCCCATGGACTGCAGCCCACCAGGCTCCTCCGTCCATGGGATTTTCCAGGCAAGAGTACTGGAGTGGGTTGCCATTGCCTTCTCTGAGATATTATACACAGGTTCCCACTGAATTTTCAGATTGGCAGGGTCTTAAAGCTACCCACCTCCCCAGCTCTTCCATTTCCCCCACATGCATACCTGGCATCTGGACTGCTCTTGCTAATTTCTAGTCCATGAAAGTGATGGGGCCAGAAAAAAAAATCCTGCAAAGCAATGTAGGGGATAAGTAAGAGCAAAATTCACCCTCCACAGCTACACCTACTGTTCCACTGTGTCCCCATCCCAGACTGCCTAGAGTTTCTTCCACCCCAACTCAGAATGGTCTTTTGTTTCCTTGTGGTCTTTTCAAAGCTTTGATGTTTGTTCCACAGCCTTCTCAACTCCTCAATCAAGTTCTCAACTCTGGCTGCATGTTGTTTGGAATTGAGGTGTATTTTAAATATTCTAGTGCCAAGATTCTGCTTCTGAACATTCTGATACAAATGGTGCAAGGAGGGCTCCTGACTATCAGTAGTTTTTGAAGCTTCCATAGATAATTCTAATGTGCTGCAACGGTCTCCAGCCTCCCTGGGATGGTTTAGGGGAAGGGAACCTCACAGTCCCGGTCTCTTAGTTTTCCTATTAGGAGCTAGAAGTTTGTATTTTGTTTAATGCTCAAATGACTGAACTCATATACCTAATAAAAATATTTTTTTAAATTATCTTGAAATTTTAAACTAACTATAATTTGATTAAGTTCTCCTATATCATTTAAAATGCAATTGCAAATTCATTATGGCTGTTTTTTGAATACTTCAAATGTCATAAAACTTTCACAAATGCAGGGACTACAAAGCTTGTTATTATACTTATACTTGAATACATTCTAAAGCCTTGGAACAATGAACTTATTCATTTCTTTGATAATTTATGTGCTTGTTTTATACCTTCCGAGGGGATATTAGTATACTTATTTTAATATCTACCTAGGGTTTCAGTAATACATTTTTATTTCTTCCCAGGGGTGGAGTAATATTACTAGACCCTCCAAAAAAAGTATATGTGCTCAGCCCAGCCAAAGCTGTAGAATCTGGATTACTGGCTGATCCATTTTTGGTCTGGGTACAGGACTCATCATCAGGCTGCATTAACTTCCGGCCTTACAGCAACATGAATTTTAAGGTCACACCTTCACTTGGGTTTTACTTTTTTACAACCTGCTGTCTTTCAGGAAATGATGTACTTTTAAAATCTCACTTTGCCAGAGTTACAAAACCCAATGTCCTATCAGTATGATATATTGACTTGGTCTGTTACCTTTTTAAAGAATTATGTATTTCTTATTGGTGTTTTATTAAAATGAGTAGGGCCATCTAGTGGTTTCATTTCCTGTAAGATGAGGCATTGGGTATGGGTTGTAGACTCTTCCTCTTTGGGATATTTGACTAATTCATCTTTTTGGAAGACCCTGTTGCTCCTTTTTTCTATGTGGTAACATTGTGTGATCACTGATCCTGATTAAGTGTTGGACCTTCTTTCCACTTAAGTTGTATGTTCAACTCAGTACCAGCCAAACCAGTCGTTTCTCCTTTTGCTTGAGTTTCTGCTTTTTTCCTAGATTATTGGTTTGCTCAGTTCCACAATTTTATTTTTTCCTCTGAAACAAATATGTGTACATAGCTTTATACATTTTTATAAAAAACAATAAAGTGGGAGAAACAAAATATCCATATACAAATAATAGCTACTTGTTAAAATCCATTAACAAGAGGCAAATTCATGGTTGGTTATCTATTTTTTGTATCACAATTATATTTTTGTACTCATTATCTTAACTTCTCTGTTTTGATAAATATTATGAATCCATACTCCTTGGAAGGAAAGTTATGACCAACCTAGACAGCATATTAAAAAGCAGAGACATTACTTTGCTGACAAAGGTCCATCTAGTCAAGGCTATGGTTTTTCCAATAGTCATGTATGGATGTGAGAGTTGAACTATAAAGAAAGCTGAGCATTGAAGAATTGATGCTTTTGAACTGTGGTGTTGGAGAAGACTCTTGAGAGTCCCTTGGACAGCAAGGAGATCCAACCAGTCCATCCTAAAGGAGATCAGTCCTGGGTGTTCATTGGAAGGACTGATGTTGAAGCTGAAACTCCAATACTTTGGCCATCTGATGCAAAGAGCTGACTCATTTGAAAAGACCCTGATGCTGGGAAAGATTGAGGGCAGGAGGAGAAGGGGATGACAGAGGATGAGATGGTTGGATGGCATCACCGACTCAATGGACATGAGTTTGGGTGAGCTCCAGGAGTTGGTGTTGGACAGGGAGGCCTGGCATGCTGCAGTCCATGGGGTCGCAAAAAGTCGGACACAACTGAGTGACTGAACTGAACTGAACTGAACTGAACTGATGAATCCATGGTCTTTTGTAGACTCAATTTGCTCCAAGTAACCATAATAAAAATAATATTTCATGCTCAAACTGTTAAAACTTGATTAATAGAAACTCTTTTTTTTTTTTTTGTCTTTCAAACTTTTATTTAAGGGCACTGATCCATGATGGATTTTAGATCTTGTTGAACGCAGCCATATCCATAGACTGTACATACTCATCGAAAGCAGTGATCTGCTCCTCCAGCATATCTGTCCCAACTTTGTCGTCTTCAACTACACACTGTATTTGAAGTTTTTTAATGCCATACCCAACCGGAACTAGTTTAGAAGAGCCCCAGACCAAGCCGTCTGCTTGAATGCTTCTGACACACTCCTCTAGTTTTGCCATATCGGTCTCATCATCCCAAGGTTTCACGTCTAATAAGATGGAAGACTTAGCGACAAGTGCTGGTGTTTTGGCTTTCTTTGACTCATACTGGGCAAGGCGTTCTTCTCTTAGCCTCTTGGCTTCTTCACTTTCCTCCTCCTCATCAGATCCAAAGAGATCAGTGTCATCATCATCTTTACTATCTGTAGCTCCACTTTCTGTGGTGTCTTCCGCATTAGCAGGGCCATACTTGCCCAAAGCTTTCTTCACTCCTGGCAGGCTGGCCTTTTCCTTCTCATAAGATTTGATGTGATTATACCAACAGAGGGCATGACACAAGTCGGCAGGTGGTGGGCTGGAGATGGCTTCAAATACTGCCACATCTGCTTGTGATGGCACATACCCCTCTATGTAACTCTTGTCTGCCAAGTAGTCGTTGAGCACCTGGAGGCCAGCGGGGCTTTTCAAGTCTCCAAAACCCATGGTGACGGCTAATCTAGAACTGGGAGGCAGCCAAGAAAAAGAGGCGCGCCAATAGAAACTCTTAAATTGGGTTGTTTGGCCTTCTTATATTGCCTCTTACAATTTTTTTTTTCCATAAAAATACTTGATTTTAATTTTTAACTTTACATTACATATATATCTATATTTACATAGCATTTTTAATTAGAAGAGAATAATAAATACTCAAAACCAGTTAACATCTGGATAAAAAGGTCACGATGGTTTACCCATCAGTTGCAGAACTGATTAACTAGTTGGTTGGCTAACTAGTTGACTGGATTTATACATTGGACCTTCAGGTTAGTGAACTTGAGCAATGACATCCATTATTTGGTTTTAAGCCATTTCCTATTTTTTTGCTATAATATTCCTCTGCTATTACTGATGGTGGTGATTTAGATGTTAAGTCATGTCCAACAGTTGTGACTCCATGGACTGTAGCACACCAGGTTCCTCTGGTGATTACCCAGGCAAGAATACTGGAGTGGGTTGCCATTTCTTCTCCAGAGCCTCTTATACTTTAAAAAAAAAAAAAAAAACTTGCTTTCTGGGGGCAGTAGGATATTCCAGGCTCATTCTGATCTTTCTTTTCCATTTTCCAGCACGAAGAACCATCTATCCTCTGGGCAATCCTATTTCATTTTTTCACTTGACAAAAGTATTAGAATTGTGGGCATGGGAGGATGCATATGAAAAATGGGCAAGAGTTCCCAAAGCCAGTGCTTGGTGACAACCTAGAGGGGTGGGAAGAGGAGGGAGGTGGGTTCAAGAGAGAGGGGACATATGTATACTTATGGCCAATTCATGTTAATGGATGGCGGAAACCATCACAATACTGTAATTATCTTCTAATTAAAATTTTTTAATATATACATTTTTAAAAAGTTCCAACACTGCTATTGAGCCAGTTGCATTGGAAAATATGACTTTAAAAATGGTTTCCTAAGATTTTTTCAAATGTAACGATGTTATATTGATGTACCTTACTTTTCCTATACCAGAGAAGGAAATGGCAACCTATCCCAGTATTCTTGCCTGAACAATTCCATGGACAGACTCTTCTGTATGGAGAAGTCTAGTCCATGGGGTCAAAAAGAGTCAGACACAACTAAGTGACTGAGCATACACTTTTCCTATAGTAATTGGTATCACCTGTTATGAACACTTTCTCCCTGGTAACAAAGGTCCTATAAATATACGTGCCCCTAATATAAGTGTGAAAGTGAAAGTCACTCACTCCTGTCCAACTCTTTGCGACCCTATGGACTGTAGCCTGCCAGGCTCCTCTGTCCATGGAATTCCCCAAGCCAGAATTTTGGAGTGGGTAGCTGTTCCCTTCTCCAAGGGATCTTCCCATCCAGGAATCGAACCCAGATCTCTCTCACTGCAGGAAGATTCTTTACTATCTGAGTAACCAGGGAAGCCCAATAAAACGAAGAGCACTATGTGTTGGCCGGGAAACGAACCCGGGTCACCTGCTTGGAAGGCAGCTATAAGTCCTTTTTTTTGGCTATACTGCAAGGCAATTGGGATCTTAGTTCCACAACCAGGGATTGAACCCGTACCCTCTGCATTGGCAGCATGGAGCCTTAACCACTGAACCAACAGGGAAATATGGTCCTAATGTGGTCCCAGCACTATCCCTGATTTGAGGAATTCACAGACTGGTAGGAGAAAACTGGATGTAACAGCTCTCTGTTCTCTCCATGGGACCTTAGATATTGCTTGTCAGAATAGCTCACTTCCCTTGGCACATTAATTCTCCTAAGAATAACTTGATAGAGACTGAGATCAACACAGAGATTTTTAAAAATAGATATAAAGGTCTTGGAAGACTGAGATATAAAGACAGGGAGACACTGAGAAACAAAGAAACAAAAACAAAGACAGGAAGAGATTAATGGGATGAGAGCGAAGGAGATGTGCTTCGTGACGAGAAGTGTGGGAAAGAGACAGCACCAAGAGTGTGGAGCAGGAAAGATAGAGGATTACAGAAATACCTGAGACAAAAAAATAAAGGAAGTAAAACAGATGACAGATATGGAAAAAATTATTACTTTCGAGAGGGGATTTATAGCAAGATACGAGAAGCAGGGAGAGAAAAATGGACAGGATGAGAAAGAGAAGTAGAAACTCACTCATACAGTTTCTTTCCTACAAATACAAGCCACAGACTCACTGATAGAAAAACCCAGCAGAATTTGAATTGTTTTAGCTGAGCTCATGTTAATAAGTAAGCTTTCTGGGGTTAGCTACATATTTACAGTCTCAGCTTTGCTTGGACATTGGTCTTTAGGCTACTTATGTTTGCCAACAGCATCTTCATGTCCATTTTAGGCTTTGCGAATTCAGCTACTAGCTCTAACTTCCCATAGCTTATGATGTAAAAGATCTCTGATTTCTTCTATTCAGTGCTGGGATTAGCTGAAAGTCAGTCTCACTTGCCCCATTCATTGTTGATCAGTCTCGGGCTGATCAACATTTCCACTGCTGTCAGCAGGCTATCCCACAGTGCAGAAGCCAGGAGTGTTATTGTTCTTAAATCATACTTCAAGCCACTGACTCTGCGTCACAGTCTCACAAAATGCTCTGGACTGCGTGACCAGTGCCTCACAGAAATTTGTTGGAAGGAGGGCTACCCAGTTCTGCTGTTACACTGTCGGCTAGGGGAGAAAGGCAGAGGCCTTAGACATTGGAAAATACACAAAGTTTTCAAAGGTGATGGCCAAATCTTTCCTTGGATTCTTCTTCTCATTCTCTTGACATAAACCCTTTCTTCTTGTTAATATGGGCTTATGTCACCTGGGCCTTGCTCAGGTTGACTTTCTGCTGGTGAGTCCAGTTTAGTCTCACTGGGGAGCTTTCTCAGCTTACAGGAATACATCAAGTGACTCGCGGATCCAGTGTCAGCATCTACCAAGTATTGGTCTCCAAATTTGGTATATATGAAGAGTTATTTGGGGACCTGTTGAAAAGGCAGGGACCCACTTGAAGAGATTTTATCTGAGGAAAGGGAATGCAGGCAGCCATCTGAATTATAAGACTCCCTAATGCGATTCTGATGTGGGCATCCCTACGCCATCTTTCCAGAAATATTTCCCAGAGTAGGTCTTTGCTTATATTTCAGAAGATATCTTGCCAGTCATGAACCTGATATGACCTTCTGCTTGTCAGGCACAGGTGTATCTAAGACTTCAAGTCTTCTTCCCAGACTACATATCTTACTGTTGCCATCTTCAACATCAGTTCACAGCCTGGATACACTGATAAACTTGACTTGTAGAGTTGATGGAAATTAATTCATATCTTTTTTAGAATAAGAAGTCTACTCTTTAAGTGGGCAATATCTTCCTATAAATCTGCTAGAAAATGAAAGGTTCATCAGAAGAATTTGTGTATTATGAGCAGCTTTCATTTCCAGAGAGCTAAAAAAATGATAGATTCCATAGTAACATTCTATCTTTTAGATTCCATCTTTTAAAAAATAATTTATTTATTTTATCTTTTGGCTGTGCTGTGTCTTCATTGCTGCACGGGCTTTTCTCTAGCTGTGTGAGGGGGAGCTACTCTCTGGTTGCAGAGTGTGGGCATCTCATGTGGTGGCTTCTCTTGTTGTGGAGCACAGACTAGGGAGTGCGGGCTTCAGCAGTTGCAGTGCATGAGTTCAGTAGTTGCCGCTCCCGGGCTCTAGAGTACAGGCTCAATAGCTGTGGTGCATGGGCTTAATTGCTCCAGAGCATGTGGGATCTTCCTGGATCAGGGGTCTAACCTGTGTCTCCTGCTTTGGCAGGTGGATTCTTTACCACTAAGCCACCATGGAAGCCCCTAGATCCCATCTCTGATGATGCTCTTCCAGCAAAATTCTTTCCATTTTGTTCTTATTTTTTATTGCCTTTCTATCATTTTTTAATGATTTTCATCTTTGACTCTATTGTAGTACCTGTAAGGTTTCACTTATCACTAGTATCAGAATTACTTATTTTTCTTTTTTCCATTCACTTTGCTGCCCACACATGGTGATGTTCATAAGACTGAGCAGTTGGCTGCTGGGCATGGCCACTATGATGTAGCTCAGAATAGTCTTTGCCACCTGGCTTATAAAAGTCTGAACTTTGCATCTGGAAGGTGCATAGAAGTGTCAGTGCAAAGGGTTTTAAAAAATGCAGGATGCAAAGATTTTAAAAGTCTGGAAGTTGAGGGCTGTCTCAGAAATGAGAATCCAACTTAAATGAAACTGGTTTGCTATACAAAGTGTAAAATAAAGCTTTATTACTCATCCATATATTATGCTTGCTAACTATGCTGGATTACGGCGATGAAGACATGAAGACAGACATGGTCAGGGACTTTAGAGAATGTTGGAGGAGATAGGCATGTAAATTACAAGTAAACTTTATAAAAGAAATACAGGGTACTGTGTATATGCTGACAGGGACCCCTTTCACCCAGAGAAGGCTAAGTGTGGTTTAGCCAGTGATAAAGGTAGAAAGAAATGTTGCAAAATATCCAAGCCCTTAGAAATAAGAAACAGCATGGTATGCGCAGCAAATGGTAGTTTTCAAAATCGATGTATCATTATTTCCCATTCCACATGCTTTTCTTGACAGTGTGACTTTGATGCTACACCAGACTAGAGCTGGATCAATATGATCTAATGTGATCTCTGATCTGAAAGTGATGCTATGCAACTTCTGAGGCTAAGTCATAGAAGATGATAGAGTTTGGGATGCTTTCTTTTGGAACCCAGCCACCATGCTGTGAGGAAGCCCAATCAGCCGTTTGACGAGGCCATGTGCTGTGGGTGACAGCCCTAGTAGAAGTCCCAGTCAATGGTTAGTATCAACCACCAGACATGTGAGTAAATAATCCTTCAGACTTTTCCAAATGCCATTCTATGCCTCTTCCTTCCTGAAGCCCCAGACATCATTCAGCGGAGAAAAAATCCAGCAGTAGAGAGGGCTTCAAGCATAGCTCTAACA